CCAGCGCCTCGGCCACGCCGGAGCCCCAGTGCCGAAGCTGAGGGCTGGAGGCAGATCTGCAGATCGATCATGAACAACAGTTTTAACCCGACGTCTGAAGGTTACACTCTTGGCTTGTGGAGCCCGCGCTCCCCAGCCGGGAGCTGCATCCCTGGTGCTGGGCCGGGTGCTGGTGGCCGCCTCCGCCCCTCGGGGCTGGGTCCGGCGTGGTTGGGTGGGCGCTGCTGCCCTCGGGCACCTCTGATCCGGGAGTCCTCTTGGGCTGGGTCTGAGAACAGTGCTGCAGGATGTGTTGGGAAGAAGGGAGGAAATTACAAGTGAAAACTGGGATCTTTAAAAAATATAATTTAACTTCTTACAGACCCAAGCATTTAATAGTTGGTACTCTGTGAATGGAGAACACATTCCAAAGTCTGTGTGTTAACTATGGTCAAATAATAAACAGACGAATAAATTCTATATGAGAATGGATTTTTTCTGTTTGTTTTTTGAACACGGTGCAATGGCACGCAAACTTTTCTTTAAAATCTCTGTGTTTTCTACATTGGTAAAACTTAATGGATTAGAAACCACTGTCATGGCATCCCCTAGCAGGCTTTTGATTCAGGTGTGGTGTTTGGCTGTTCTCAGGCTGGAGCAAGTCAGGACTAGCAGCTGCATGAAAAGGAAATGCCATGGAGCTTGTCGTAAAAACAGCGCGAAAGAAATGTGAAGCTCTGATGTAAAGAAAAGCTGGAAGCTAAGCTGTAACTTCACTATTGTTCATGTTATTTAAAGGTTGGATTTCCCTTTTTTGTATTCTGGTGATTAGAGAGCAGTTCTCAGGTTTCATAAGAGCCTGAACAACGTTATTACAACAATTATTGTGTTGCTTCATGTTAAAACTCCTTTACTATCATATTTAGCAATATTTTTAAAGCAGATTAGCCACCTGGATAATATACGAGACTGGCTGTTTCTTTGTTTTAAACATAGGAAGGAGGTGGGATGATGAGAGCTTGCGACACTAGGATGATTCCTGCAGGTGTGCAAGATGGAGGTGCTTTTGTCAGTGGAAGTGTACCGGAAGGGTCTGACACTTCCCCTCTGCTTAGTGGTTTACTCTGATCACTGCTTTGATGGCTGTCACTAGAAGGGGAAGACGGAGGAAAGGAGTTAATTAATGAGCTGACTTTTAAAAAGCTCATTCCTTTTTTCCTGTACCCTCGAGCTCCTGGCATGATGTGATCGGTGAGCAGAGGTTCATGCCTTGGCTGTCTGATCCTGTCCACAGGCTTAGGGCTGCTCCGTGCCTTTGGCTTTCCCGCGCAGCCTGCTGCCTCCGCGTGTCCGTGTCGTCCTGTGGGCAGCATCTTGGCTGCTCAGCTCTTATTCATTATGCAGATCGTTGGTTTGCATTACTAATTAATTGAAGTACTGTCGTATGTACGGAGACTTTTCTGAGTTCTCGGAGTTGTAGGAGCCGCGATGGAGGGATGTGTATCGCTGTGCTGGAGAGTCAGGATGCGTATGAAGTGCAGGATTTGTCTTTAGGCATTCAGGAATGAGCCTGCTGTCCCTCGGAGGAGAGGCAGTCTGATACAAAATCTGGAACTCTCGATGATGCGTCTGTTAGGTAAAGGTATCCTCTATTTTGTTTTTCTGAAACACGAGTAAAACAAAAAATACAAAGAAATATTTGTAAGCCTTTGTGTACCCTAATAAGATTGATTTTCTACAAAACTCGACTGCTTAGTGCCCTTTAGTTCCCCTTTTGGGAACCCAGCAACCTGTGAAATGTTTAGAATAAGTGTCAGTAGTTTCCGTGTGAATCCTGGACCACAGAAACCTGGAATAGGGTTCATTTGTCTGAACAAGTTCAAGGTCTGGTGCCAGTTTTCCAGTTTCTAGGTTGTCTGTTGCTTCTGCTGCGGAGTGTAGCGAAGCCGAGCGAATGAACGTTTGGCTGCAGAAGGGAGAAGCCCAGCTGCTGCCTGTGGTGGGGACGGGCCCGAGGCAGCCGTGCGTGTGTGCAGCGGCCGCTGCGAGACTTGAGTGTCAGCACCAGCCTTTTCAAGTGAAGTTGGGAGAAAAATCAGATTTGGAAAAAAGGTGACTGCTGTATTGAATACACTGGAAGACTTTACTGAATTACATAAATTCCTTGGCAGTGCTAAAGAAATCTGGAGAGCCCAGAGGAGCAGCTTTCTGCGCTTCGGGGCTGATGGCTCCCTCGTCTCTGAGGGGACTCTGTTCTCAAAGCACGTCTCCGTTTTGGTCAGGTGTAAAACACAAAGTGTTGCTTTGGCCATTTTTTTTTGAGCCTTGAAAAGCAGAGACCTAAACTTGGAGGCTTTTTAGCTGTTATGATTCTTACTTCCATCTGGAGGCAGGGATCTGAAAACTTGCAGAGAAAAGTGCAAAATCCCACATGTTGGAATTTAGGGGACACTTTTTTCTGTAAGTGGATCGACCAGGTGCTCTATCCTTTCTCTGCTGCAGGGTTTGGTAACTCTGCCTGCCTTTTACCTACCTGAGAAGCAGCAGCTGAAGAACAGGTGATTAAGACTCCTCTGAAACCTTTGGCACACCCCTTATTTAAGGAGCAACTCGGCCCATTTTGCGGTTACACCCACCCTTACACGCAGGCTCTTCGCTGCGGGTGCTGCCAGCGCGGGTTTGTGCGCGGCGGTCAGTGAGCCTTGGAGTAAAAGCAGTAGAGATGAGAAAAATAAACCCAAACTTCCACAGTGGAATAAGTTTTTCCTTCTTCAGCATTTTCATAGTTTTTCACTGTTACATGGCATCTTTTACGTTACTGTCTTTCTGTGTAATAACCACTAAAATGGGCCAGAGTTCCACTTTTAAATCCAGAGCTGGATGTACGCGTGTGCCGAGAGTCCTGCGGGGCTCCCTGTTAGCTGTGCTGGGGCGATTCACTGGGGAGATGGGGCCTGGGCTGCAAGTTTGTCCCTAATACCCAGAGCTCAGGAACGTGGATTTCTGTGGGCACCTGCCTGGTGGAAGATTGCGGCTGATTTACAAACCGTCTTCTCCTGATGTTTAGCTCTGGTCCCTACATACTGCGCTGTGCCAACAGGCTGAGAGGAACATTTTTAGGCTCCTCACACCTTTCCTTAAGCAGTTGCTAAAGTGGTGACTATTTTAGCAGCTAAGAATTCAATATACTTACTTTTACTTAAAGTAGCCAAGTTAATCCTGTTAAATGCTGTATGTGTGTGTGGGAGAGAGGAACTAATTCCTGAATAGCATTTAATCCTGAGAGGAGGACACAGTCGGAGAAAACGTTGATTTACAGGGAAGTCTGGAACCAGCTGGAAGCTGATTGGGGATTAGCTGGGTTTCCAGTTGTCAGAGGGTGTCAGAGGCTCGGAAAGTGTGCAGCATGCCTGGCGGAGAAGACACGGCCAGTGGGAATTGCTAAATAAGACACACATCTACCTGCGTGGCAGAGGCTGGGGAATCCCACAGGCAGGTGTCATTAATGCACAGTAATCTAAAACCAGCTTGAAAACGTCAGGCTGTGTGGAGCAACCTGTGTGATGATATTAGGCTGCTGTAAATATTTAATTTCTAAAAATAGCAACCCAGTGGTGATCAAAGTGCCTGGCAGGTGTGAGAAGGCACAAAGAGCAGGAGAGCTTGGGAGGGAGGGAAGGATGCTGAAAGGGGATGTGAACCCTCTCTCGGGAAGGTGCTGGGGGGACCCTCACCCTTGAGCTCACGGTGTCCCAGAGCAGCGAGAGGTGAGTGTCGGGGTGCAGTGGGTGGTCACAGCAGCAGGGGGCTGATGGAGGGCTGTGGGGCTGTGCCCGAGGCCCGTGGTGCGGGGCAGTCCCGGGGACCGGGCGGTGTGTCCGGGGCGAGCGGCGGTGGGAACGTGCTGCTGGGGAAGCAGGGAGGCACTGCTGAGGGCTCAGCTCGGGTTAGCGGGTTTTTTAATACGCTTTGTGAAGTTGGGGTCAGTAAACGGCTGGTATCTCCTTTGCCTCTTAAAACAGTGAAACAAATTCTGGGGTTTTGGACTGACAAGCAGCTTCCCTTTAGGCACGGGTGGTTTGGGTTTCCCCTGTGGGACAGCTGAGGAGCGCTCAGCCGGGGGGGTCTGGACGGGGAGGGCTCGGCAGCCTCGCTTGCTGCCTTCTCTTTGCCTGTTGTAGGGACCGGGAAGGGTGAACGTGCCACCAAGGGGATGTTTCTGGGTGTTCCCTGTGGGCGAGCAGTAGGGTGGGGACAAATGCTGCTGGCCTGGGGTGCCCTTTGCAGGGAAAGCAGCCCTGGGTCTGCTGGCCGGGACGAGGAGTGTGTGCTGGGGGGTCCTGGGCTGCTGCCACCTGCGTCCTCCCCCGAAGTCCCCGCTGGGAGGGGAGAGGGAGGATGGTGAAACGGTGTGGGCCGTGGGAAATAATTACACGGGTGAGAGGCGGGGAGGGGTGGGGAGGGACCGTGTCCTCCTTCCCACTGACAAGCACGGTTCCTCCTCTTCCCTGACACCCAGCCCAAGGATTACTGATATGTGAACTCAACAGTTCTGGGTTTTAATCCCAAATAAAGCTAAATTGCCCTTAGAAGCAGCCTCAGTCAGTAAGCTGCTTAAATCTTAACAAGTAGGGTTTTTTGTTTAAGGCGGATAGAATTATTCTGTGGATAAGTGTATGAGGGCATTATGTTATTATATGGAATTTTAGTTCTGTGTTCTGTCAGGTGAACGCGATGCAGTGAGCAAATCAGCAGAGCCTCTGTTCTTGGCAGCTTTGCCAGCGCAGCAGCGGAAGGCTGCAAACCACTCTTGTTAATTTTATGCCTCATCAATGGCATTTTTATGTTCTTGGGGCTGTGAAGTGGCCCGAGTGACTCGAGGTAACGGTGGCCTCCGTGGTGCGAGCGCCTCGGCACCGTGGCTGGGGGCAGCGGCGGTGGGTCGGGGCCGCGCATGGAGCGACGGCTTTTTGCCTACGAAGGCTGAGCAGCATAAATAGGGAGATCCGTTGTGCCGCCTTTATTACATATTAATATTACAGTACAACCACCCTCTCATTTTCTACAGGAGTAAACCAAATTATTTCTGAACGTCTCTATGAATACACAGAGGCTGTAGAACACGAAGCCGCAGAATCAGGGGTCGGTGGCAGACGTTCGCGTGTCCAGTTCGGTTTTTGGGTTTGTATGAACTGTTTTCTGAAATGTCTTCACTCCCCTGCGTAGCAGCTTTTCCACAAAGGGTTTGCACAAGAACATGTATATCAGGGGGTCCATGCAGACGTTTGTGGCAGCCAGCCACAGCGTGCTCTCTTTCGCAATGAAGAGTTGGCTCTGCAGACGGCAATCCATCCGGGCCGCGGTCTGACTCAGGGTGTAGGGGACCCTGCTGAAATGAAACGGAGCAAAGCACAGGAAAAACACAGTAAAAATGATGAATACTTTCCCCTTGACCCTTTGTTCACTTTTGTTGTCTTTCTTCTGTGTTTTTATGTAAGACTCATAGACCTTTTTGGCAATAATTACATAAAATAGGAACATGAGGATGAGAACAGTCCAGAAGATGATCTGACAGATATAATTGACAGCCTCGTGCCATTTGAGCCCGAAGTAGTTCTTCAACGAGGCACACTTCTTCACGGAGTGGGGCGTTGCTTTCTTGTTCGACAGGATCATGTTGGGCAGGGAGAGAGCAAAGAAGAAGAGCCAGACCAGACCCGCAAGGATCTTTGCTGAGGTCAGGTTTTGCACCCAGAACTTCCCAAAAGGTCTCACAATCTTGAGAAATCTGTCAAAAGCAATGAGGCCGAGCAGCACTATGCTGATATACATGGTGTCATAAAATACCACGGCTGAGAAGCGACAGACAAAGGCTTTGAGTTGCCATGGTCCCAGGCCAGAGTCCGTCAGGATTTTCAGAGGAAGCATCAGGGTCATTATAAAATCAGAAACCAAGATATTTTTCAGGTAGACAATGAAAGTCGATGTGCTCGGAACCTGGAAGAAAGCCCAGAAAGCCAGGCTGTTCAGTGTGAGTCCCAGAAGGAAGACGAGTGTGTACAGCGCTGGGAAGACGAGGCGGGTGACGGTGGTGTCGCGGGGGCACGGTGCAGAGGGGGGTGCCCCGCTGGAGTTACTGACAGTGCTCTCGTTTGCGAAGTCTCCCATTGTTCGAAATAGACTTGGGTGGAAAGGAGAGGGAAAACATAAACCATAACATTCTGTATTTAAAATTACACATGCCTTACAGTAACTGGCAGGTTTACACAGGTAAACACAAAACCTGAACATGCATTAAATAGACCAACTGATTTCTCTTCTAGTTCATAGAAAATCTGAATCTTTGCGTAAGTCGCAGTTGTTTGCATACTAATGTCTAGTGAAGAGTTAAGATGATATATATTCAGCATGGAGGCCTAAGGTAATCGAGCAGCAAGGTGTAACAGCAGATTGCCCAGAGCACTGTTTGTCTTTACATGGAAATGCATTTTACTGTAGAACAGAAATCTTACAGTTGTGGCCCAAAAGCAAAGTGCTTCCAGGGAAGCGACTTCTGGTATTTCTCACTGAGCACACACCGTCTTTCCCTTCTTAGCACAGGTTTCAAATCATTCTCAAGATCAGACGCGCGCCGCTGGTTATCAGCCTCTTGCATCTGACAGCAGCCGAGCGCGTGCCCCGTCCCAGCCCGCGAGTGCCCCGCGCGCAGTACCTGAGCAGGCCTGCCAGCGGGGGCTTCAGAGGGGGCTCCTGGTCATCCGCTGCTCCTCTGCTGGCAGAACCCACGAGCAAAGTGTTAGGAATGGGGAAATGTGTAGAAAGATGAGACTTTCTGTTGGTGTGGTGCGCTGCTTCCTTCCTCGTTTTCACGTGCCCCCTGAGTTAGTTACCACGTTTGCTGTGGCTTTTCCCTCTTCCCCTGGCTCTCTGTCAGGCGGTGCTCTACCTGCTCCTGGACGAGCACAGACAAGAAGGATCGGATCCATCGAGACGGGAACGTTTTCTGGCTCTTTTGTGTGGGGCAGACCTGATGGCACCTACTGTGCCATTACTGGCTCCTTTAGAGAGGTGGGATGAGCAAACACAGAGTGTTTCCCGACAGTTTTCCAGGATAATGCCCAGATGCAGCTCTGAGTTCTCGTCTGTGTGTGTGGACTCCCCTGCTCTGGACAGCTCTCGTCATCATCAAATGCGTGACCAGAAAGTCTGCTCAGAGCCACCCTTACCATGGGTTACTTGGCTACAGAGTCACCTGCACCGACACATTCAGAAGCTGTGCCCTCCCCCTGGAGCCTGTTCATATCCACACATGAGCTGAGCCTGACTTCTCCTCTCCAGAGCGGGATTTGTGGTTTATTTTGGTGTTGGCGTAGCCAGGTGGTGCAGCGTGCTGGTTACAGCCACTTCTGGTTCTGGCAGAAGCTGCTGCTACTGCAGGGTGTGCTGTGTGTTTATTGTGTGTGTGTCAGGTGTAATGTTGGAATCGAGTGCATTTCTCTGTCAGCGAACTTTCTTGTATAAGTTTAGCGGAGATGTGTGATTTGTCTCGTATTTTCCTGCCGGCTGACGCGAGGTGGGGTGCTGGCTCCTCGCTTGCTGCCGTGTGGGAGGCCGTCCCTCTGGGGGCAGGCACGGATTGCTTTTTGAGGGTCTGGGGCTGCCTAAGTTTGTGCTTGAGTATCTACATGTTGGTTAATGTTGGTGTGCTTCGTGTGTCGGCGGTGAACGGCCGGCAGAGAGTACGGAGCCTGGAGGATGGCCGGGTCACCCTCGCTGTGGCCGTCAGCGTGACACGTCCCAGCAGCCTGGGCCCGCTTCTGTTCTGCCACCGAGGGCTCTGCAGAGCCGAGATAGAGGGGCTGGTGCTCCCACAGCTTCCCAGCTGTTCTCCTGGCGCTGCTCCCGGCTGTACGAGGGGGGTACGAAGTGCCTCCCCGTGCCCCACCCGTGGCGGCTCTGTGCGGGTGGCAGCAGTGTCTCTTGCCGAAGAGCCCATCGGCCGGGGGCAGCCGCTGCCAGGTCATTGCCACTCTGTGCCCACTGAGGGGGAGCGGGGCATCTCAACCTCCCTGCCGGGGCCAGCTGGAGCTGGTGGCGTAACCCCGCTCTGCCTGCGGGCACTGTGGGGAGGTGCCAGCATAAGCAGCAGACAAAACATTTTGTAAATATTTAATTCATTCCGGCAGGTTATGAGAGATGGGTAAACTCTAAGGCTGAGACCCCAAGTAAGAACTATCTTTTAACTTTTTAGGATATTGGGTATAAAACCGCCCAGTGCCCTGCCAGGCTCAGTTAAGGGGAGATGGGCAACGGCTTGTGGCAGGACCGAGCTCTTGTCTGGTGAGGAAACATGCTTCTGAACTGGAGCTGTTCTGCAGTGATAAGAAATGAACCATAAGTTATTACCGCAGCCTAGGATCTTTTCCATGTCTGGTTGTTATGATGCTTGAAAATGTTATGTACCTGAAAAGACTTCCCTGGTTTTTTTTCAACTTATCCAAATGAAAAAGAGGAAGGGGTTAAATTTTTTGTATAGTACAGAAGAGGTGCTCAATAATCAGTAATGATTTTACCATAAATCAATATTTCCCCAAGATCTAAGTATTATGTAAATTAAGTCTGTATCTTTTCTGATATAATACACTGTTCTTCATCAAATTGCACATTTGTTTATTCATATAGTAAGGTGAAGTATTTGAAGAGTTAGCTCACATCAAGATACACGTCATTTTGAAATAATTTCCTCTGCCGTACAACTATTAACTATTGGTCAGTGGATGAAGGGTTGCAAGCATATAATGAGATAAGCAAAATGTTACTCTGTTACCAAAAATCCGCACAGACAAATAGCTTATCCACATATGTCCTATATTTCTGCTAACTCTATTTAAGAAAACACAGTTAGTGTGGATTTTATTTGCATTTCCCAGATCTTGTGTTGTAATGGACTTTACTCTGGCCTAAGTTTCAGATATTTCTGCAAAATCTTTGCAGGTAATAATCTCATCTATAGTGTTACAAGACACTTTTAATTATTTTCTTACAGTTCCTACTATAAGTTCAGACTTTTTCCTAGCAGTTCTGACAGGGTGGAGGCTGGGATCCGATCCTGCTCCTCTTTTATTCAGGATGGTTCCAGGGTGCTTGTGCTTCGTTGGTGGGACAATTTCTAAAAAAGCCGGTGGCATTCTAGGTATTCTTCCTCAGGATTCGTGCTGCTACTGCCACCAATAAATGCATGTGGCCAAGAAGGGGTGTGGGCGGTTCTTAGCTCTAGAGCGGTGTCTCGTCCGTGTCATCGCCTTCGTTCTGCTCCTTCAGCTGTGCTCTGAGTACTGAGGGTGCCGTGTGCTTGCGCAGCATGTCTAGCAAGGACTTTCTGAAGGATTTGCAAAGGAAAAAGTATATGAATGGATCGAGGCAAGCGTTGAGCGATGTCAGCCACAGCGTGCTCTCCTTCAGGTAAAACAAGGTGTTCTGGGCGGAGCACTCGAAGACGTCTCTCGTTTGGCTCAACGTGTAGGGGATTCTGGTGAAGTGGAACGGCACAAAACAGATAAAGAACACTGCGATAATGATGAAAACCTTCAGATTTACAGTCTTTTTGGATGCCTTTCCCGTGCATCTTGTCCTTTTATAGGATTTGTACAGTTCCTTACTTATGAGTATGTAGCATACAACCACGACTGCTAAATTAACCCAGAAGATAAGTTGACAAATATAGTTTACAATTTCATGCCAGACTAAGCCAAACTCGGATTTCAAGAGAGCACACTTTTTTACGTTCTTAGACGTTTTCTCCTTGTTTGATAGAATCATGTTGGGTAATGAAAGAGCAAACATGAATATCCAGATTGCCATGGACAGGATCTTGGCACCTAACAGTTTCCTTGGTGTTGATGTTCTGAACGGCGAAGCGGCTTTCCGATAGCGATCGATAGTTATTAGACCAAGAAACAAAATGCTAATGTACATGGTGAAGTAAAATACCACCTGAGTGACCTGGCAGACAAATCCCCTCAGTACCCATGATACCAACTTTGCATCGCTAAGGATTTTAAATGGAAAAGTCAAGATCATGAGGAAGTCAGAAATGACAGTGTTCTTGAGGAAGATGATGAAATTGGATTTACTGGATACTTTAAAAAAGACCCACATTGCCAGGCCATTCATGGTGATGCCCACCAGGAACAGAATTGTATAAAGCAAAGGAAAAATGACTTGACTGATTTTGTTATCGCTGGTGCAGTTGCTGTTGTTTCCAGAGTAGCTGATGTTGGTTGCGGCTTTCATTTGCACTTTGTCTTTTCCCCCTCCCTGTGAAAACAAAAAAGAAAAAAATGAAATAGTGAGTTATATCTGTCATGAGACTTCTTTTTAGTCTGTGTTTAATTTTTGTGTTGGGAACATTTCTGTGGGGATTTTGACTGCTGTAAGTTGTGTTTTATTTTACCCAGGACGTCAGGTTTCTACAGAAGAGCACTAGATGTAGCCATGTTTGTAAGGTGGCCTGCTTTGGGGCTGAAATGCTGAGGTCACCTTCCGTCCATCACCCTGAGCCTCCACCCCCCCCCCCCCC